TGTGCAGCTTTGTGACCAAAGAGTAGAAATCTCTGAATGTAAATAACTTATGATGAAAGTTTATTGATATAAGAAATTATAAAGGACTGAAATATGCTAAGCCCCAGTATTTTAATTTTCCTTCAGAATGAAGACCAAGAATTCATTTTTAGACCAAGTTATAGAGACATTCCATTTTATCTTTAATATTTTATAGACATAAGTAAGCTATGTTCCTCACTTAAACAAGTTAAGTTTACCCAGAGTAGCTAAAAATAGGCTCCATTGTGCTTTATTTCTCCTTTGTTGGAGGAATGCTACGGCACAAGTGAACAGACCAAGCCCTCACCTCACTCGCTTTCAATAAACCATTATTATCTTTTGACATCCTCTTGCACACTGGGGGAAATAAAAAGTCACATGTGGAGAAGTTCTAAACACTAGACAGAAATGATTCTCAGAGGGTCATTTTTATCCTCCACAGGAAGTACCGCAGACTTCTTCCATTAGCCTCAGCCTAGAGATCAAAAGGTTAAGGATCTGGGACTGCCAAGGATACCTGAATACCTAAGTCACCATTTCCTCAATGTGTAGAGAGAGTATAAGAGTACACTCACAGGCACATTAGAGTATCTGAGATGGAAAAAAAAATCAACAATTGTAATATGTTACATGGGAATATCCTGTACAGATGGTGACATTTTGTTTGTGGTTGTAGGAAAGAAAGAAAGACAGTTTCCAAAAATCCCCCTCAACACCTACCATTTGGCAAAGGATAATGGGAGGTTGGAGAAGACAGAGGGAGCTTTGCTTCAGCTGAAACAGCTGGGAAACAGATGGAAGCAGATGTGAAATGTGCCAAAAGCCTTGTCCCAATCTCCTACCCATTTTCTACCAAGGAATAGCTCATCAGGTGAAAAGAGCAGAGACTACTTGGTCCACAGTGAAAAACTTTAGGAAAATACTGTATAAAAAGCAATAATATTAAAAAAACTCAGAAAACAGTCCAAAACTGCATTCCAATAGAGTGAAACTTCTTGGTTCACAAGTGATAAACTTAAAAACACTGTAGCAAAGCATATATATACATATATATACCCACACACACACACACACATATATATATATTTATATATATATATATACATACATACTTACATACATACATACTGCATTCCAATGGAGTGGGTACAATGTTGTTGAAAGCTATAAGAGTCACATATATCATAATAAAATTCCATTGAATTAATGGGTATCAGTTCTATCTCAATTCCATTGATAGTCCTTTTCCATGCTGATGCCAAAAAGGACAAGCCTACTCTTCTTTGTATTTACTGAAACTTAATAATTCCTTTGGCAATTGTAAATGTAAGTGTATATAGCTTGCTTCATTTTAGGCACTGGATTTCACTTGGAGCAATTTTGGTTAGGAGTTCAGGCATTCAGTAAATGATTTTTGGATATAAGTGCTGAGTTATGGCCAGACTTTGTTTAAATCCAAATAGTGAATATATAAATACGCTGTTGTAGACTTCTGGTTAGAAGGGTTGTGCATGTAGATCTTGTGTGTGTGTGTGTGTGTGTGTGTGTGTGTGTGTGTGTGTATGTGTGTGTGTGTGTATGTGTGTGTTTGTGTGTGTGTGTGTGTGTACTTACAAAGTATTGTTGAATATTGCAAAAGTGAGAAGAGATTGGCTTCAGAGAAACAAAAACTATTAAATAAAGTTAATAGGCTTTTCTCAATGTGAATTTGTTCATTCATGCTTACATAAGAGACTGTGTGAACCATGAATCATTCAAATTGAATTGTTCATAAGAAAAATGTGCTGTCTTTGTCATTGGTTTCCAGAATTGTTTGACTGAAGGGAAAAGACTTGTCTACATCTAAGGACTAATTAACCACTGATTTTAGACAGAGTAGCTCCAAAGTGACAAATAAGTTCCTTTGATTCACATGGAAAAATAAATACTTCTGAGAGAGACTTATTATCAGAATATTCTGTGCCATGATATAGTTTGTGATTTTCTAGAACAATCCATGGAAATAAGTGTGTGTGTGTGTGTGTGTGTGTGTGTGTGTGTGTGTGTGTGTGTGTGTGTGTGTAGGGTTCAGCCTAGAGGCTTGGTCACTGACTCTTAATTTTTTCATTCAAGACTGGCTCTTCCACTTAACCCACACCTTTACTTCTGGCTTTTTTGGTAGTTAATTGGAGATGAGTCTCAAGGACTTTTCTGGCATTGAGCTGTGATTGATCCTGAGTAGCTAGGATTACAGACATGTAATATTATGCCTGGAACCAACTGTGAATCTTAAAATTACTTTCAATGTAGAGACAGATCAAAAAGAAAGAAATGGGCTTGATATCTAATACTCAAATTAAAATGAAGCCCAGCTTGAAAATTTGTTTTAAAGCATTTATTTTGAAGTTTTGTTCAACAATGCCAGAATAACTCAATACTTCAATGGTGTGGATGTTGGCAAATAATGTGGCTATACAAGTGTGTGATGAACTGTGGGTCAGTTTCTATTATGAGCCAAGGAGGTTGGAGTTGTGTAAAATATGCCTACCTGTGTGGTCACAGCTGATTTGTTTTATAACTCATCTACTCTCAGTGGTTCTCTATGGGGTAAAACCAACATGTGTGTGCCTTATCACAAAAGAGATTTTACATTGGATAAAATCCCCTTTGACTTGCTAAGATAGGAGGCCAGTCAGCATGAAAATAAGTGACAAGCCCAGATTGTGAATGATGATGAGTTTTAGACAGGGCCAGTGTGCAAGCCATTGAAACCTCCTTGGTCTACGAGAGGCAAAAGATTTGTAACATGCTCAGATGTTGATGTAAGCTATTGCTACTGCTGATGATAATCCTAAAAATCTTTACATGTGGTCAACATATATGCTGGTAAGAATAAAAATAAATCTGTTTACATTAAAGTACCCTGTCTAGTGGACACTTTAGTTAGACTTCACACACACACATACACACACACACATCAGTTTTTGTGCTGCTCAGTGTACTTCAGTACCACTAGATAAAACAACAAGCATAGATAAAACCATTTTTAATCCATCCTATATTATATTTATCGATCGTGTTATTGTAGAAATACGTGAGGGTTTAGAAGTATGGGGAAAAACAAAAGATAATGCTAGATAATGACCAATGCCAAAGTACATTGCATCATGAATAGAGATGAACAAACCAGGGCTGGGAATGTGACTTATTGCTAGAGTGCTTGCTTAACATGCATGAAGCCCTCGGTTTGATTCCTCAGTACCACATAAACAGAAAAATCTGGAAATGGTGCTGTGGCTCAAGCAGTAGAGTGCTAGCTTTGAACAAAAGAAGCCCAGGGATAGTGCCAGGCCCTGAATTCAAGCCCCAGGACCAGCCAAAAAAAAAAAGAAGAGATGGACAAACCAAACTTACAGAAGCTGTTGAATAATAAAGCATATGGGACTGGCATTAGCACAAATACATGAAAGTACAGTGGCCAGCCCAATTAAAGTGCAGTATTTGTATGTATGAAATACTACAGTGATATCTCTTCTGCAAATAACATGAACTTTATCAGAAATGAATGTCCAGGAAGGTGAAACATGTCCATCTGGTATTTGGAAATTAGTGGGGGAGGAGAGGGAACAGAGAGAGAGTTAAAAAAAGGGTGAATGTGGTCCCAATACATGAGTTTAAATGGAACAATGAAGGCTGTTGAGACTGTTTTGAAAAATGAGGAGGAGGAGGGAGGAAGGTGAGTGTGTGTGTGAGTGTGTGTGTGTGTGTGTGTGTCCTCAAAATAGCATGGTATTTACATATGGGTATTGCATTCACAAAATGTAACTTTCTTGTACAACTAATTGATACTAAGAAAAATTTCAGAAGTGCAATGAAAATATCACTGTATCTTTGCTCATTTTCCTATATAATTCTATCACTGGGCTCATGGAAGACTTTGTGTTTTCCATCTGATGATAGTATCATAGCTCATTTAATGACAAAAACATTAGAAATTATAAGTAGTGTGATGAACACTATGATTTTTAAAAAAAATCTTGTTTGGGTTGGTATTTTACTAAGGATAAATGAGACATGAGTTACCAGAACTGGGATACTTGATGTATGCTGATATCTTTCCATTATAGATACATGCTCTGCTTAGTGTATTAAGCCTAATCTTTTAGTCTATGTCCCAAAGGCATCAGAATGATAAACATCTCCCTTAAGTTTTATCATAAGAAAAAACACTATATGTCAATTATGTATTGATTTCCAAAAAGAAAAGTTAGATTCATGTGCTTCAAGTCATTGGCTTTTTTATAGTGTCATCATAAAATTAGATAATATAGATACAACTTTTTAACAATATATAATTATATATACTTATATATAATGAAAAAACATTTTATACTTATATATAATGAAAAAACTTTTGAAGCTATTTATATTTTATTGATTTAAATAATATATTCTCTATAGTTTTCTACATAAATTTACAGTGAACCATCACTTTTCATAATAAATCAGAAATATGATCCTACTTAAATAGAAGAAGACATAAGTATTCAGATACTTATACACGTATCCAATTCAACTCTTATAACTGGTCATTAAACATTTGATTGGTAACAGATCTGTGTGCTGTTTTTCTTCTTTTGAGTTTGAGCATGCTTATATCTTAAAAACATGTGTTAAGGCAACATTTCTTATCTATAATCATTTCCTACTGAGGCTTGGTTTGTTTTACTATTATAATAATACGTTATAAATAGCCAACAATTTTGTCTATATTTTGTGTGAAGTAAATTAAATGCTTCCATAATCAGGCTGTGAGTTATTGGAGGGAAGTTAATAAAATAAAACTATATTTTCACCTATCAAGTGAAATCAACCTTATTACTTTTGTTTGTCTTCTGTTCTAGCAAAGTACACAGAAAGGTAGGGCACAAGGTACCTATGAAAGATGTGACTACATATGTTTGAATGAATTTACTTAATCTTTTATTCTTTTGTTTCAGACTCCCAGGAAGGAAATTACAAGTCAGAAGTCAACAGCAAACCAAGGAAGGAAAGGACAGCTTTTACCAAAGAGCAAATCAGAGAACTTGAAGCAGAATTTGCCCATCATAATTATTTGACCCGACTGAGACGATATGAGATAGCAGTGAATTTAGATCTCACTGAAAGACAGGTAAAGTTAGAACCTTTCCTTATGTAATCTTTTTACTTGGTTTGAGTCAACAATCTTCTGTCACTTGTGAAATATTTAGATCCTAGTTTGTAACCACCACAAACTGGATGCATTATTACATAAAGAACACTCTGGTAAGAAAAATCATTTAAAAATGTCAAAGATAATATAATAATATTTTAAGGAAAATATTTAGATTTGTTGTATTTAAGAAGAAACACTTTATTCTGTGATGCTGTCCATCTGTATTTTGGGTTGAAAATATCATTTTTAATATAGTGAGGTCATATGATGAGGGATTTATTGTATTTACCTTTCAAAATCTCCAATGTAGCCACAAGTACTGCACAGGATTGAGTCTGTTACGCTGGAATAACACAATAACCCTCTAATTTCAATGGTAGAACACTCTCAGCATCATTACTTGCTTACATAAAATCTCTACAACTCCAGAATTCAAACACTCACTCACAGACTCCATCTGGCCATCTTGGGCCTTAACATGTGGTGTCCTTGGTAAACATAGGAGGTAAGACAAGGTTCCAAGTTCATGCACTGACCTCTAAATGTTTTTATCTGGAAATGATCTGGCTTCCTTCCAGTCACACTCTAAGGTTTGCAAATGGCAACTTAGGTACAACTTAGGTACAAGAAGTCTAGGTAGTGGTTGGAGGCCAAGGGGACATAGGTCATTGGTAAATACTGCTGTTCTGTTGCCAGAATGATTTTACAATTGTGTGAGTCCCAGTAATTTAAAATTCTGGTACTTAAACAAAACCTTACAACTGTTAATGATCTGTGGACCCCAGTGAATTAGAACAAAATATTTTAATTTATATGTCCATTTCTTAGACTTTTTTGAATGACAAATGATGTATTCCATCAGAACACATAGCCAGCCCACTCCAAAGTTTCCACTTTGCCCTAGGAGACACTAGTCTACTGATGGTTAACAGTCGCTAAAATTTAGAAAAACATTTGCTGAAAGGAAAATGTAAACAACTTTATGGACAGTGCAAATATGACTGGCACCCTTGGGGCTGGAGTTCATTTCCTCTTTGACTGTACATACCTCTTCCAGAAATCCCAATTGGGACCAGAAAATATCCACAGGGTGTGGACAAGTGAGTATATACTTTATGAGACTTTCTCCAATTACTTAAATCATCATTTTCTGTTAATGTTCAGATTTCAGGTTTGGTAGGCTATTCTGAGTAATGGAAACACACAGAGGAACACTTTTATGTGGTTTTATTTATTGGCAGTTTACATTTTATTAAATGTTATGACTAGTCCCTGAGTATGGAGCACAAAATTTCCTTCCCCTCATCTTGACACACAAAGTTCTTCCTATAAGTTCTCGGCATTTAGCATATTGGAAAATAGGACCCAAAATTAGACAACTATTTTATTTGTATATTTTAATAAGTTTTTTATTGTGAAAATTCTGTACAGAGGGGTTACAGCTACATGAGCAAGGCAATGAGTACATTTCCTATCCAGCATTGTTGCTCCTCCTTTGTTTTTCCCCCACCATCCTATCCCTCCCACCTCCTCATCTACACCCCTCCCCACAATTGTAAAGTTCGTTTTTCGACATGGCGTCTTGTACATCTCATTGTTGCAATGGATCAATCTGTATCCCCAGTTAAACCATTTGTTTTTTTCCCTTCCCCTCCCCAAATTATACCAACATCAAATACAATGAAATCAGAGGTTATACCATGGGGAAGGGTCATACAAAGCAATAAAAAAATCACATGGTACCTCATAAATACATTAGAAACAATAGCAAGGAAGAAAAAAAATCACTTGTATCCCTATCTTGGGGTTAATTTCGCTTAACATCATCTTAGCTGACCTTAATATTTCATCTGGGATCTGAAAAGTAAGTATTCGGGAACAGTCCATATATTCATGCACACAGAGAAGGCAAATTCCAGGAAATGCAGACATGTTTTATGGAACACATAAAGGAAATAAGAAACTACAGTCTATTTTCCATCTATACAGTGCTATATGTGCAGCCAAAAGCAGAGCTGAGATTTTGTGCTTATTAATCTTGGGATCGTTTATAGTCATTTTTTTGTTATTTGGATATACAATATGATGTCACATAATTTTTGTGAAAATAATTTTCTTTTTTTTTGTCATTTGTGGGGCTTGAACTTAGGGCCTGGGTGATATCCCTGAGATTTTTCACTCAAGATTAAAGCTCTATCACTCTGAACCACAATACCACTCCTGGCTTTCTAGAGGTTAATTGGAGATAAAAGTCTCATGGACTTTCCTGCTTGAGCTGGCCTTGAACCATGATATCTCAGCCTCTCAAGTAGCTAGGATTACAGAAGTGAACCACTGACACTCAGCTTTGAAAATAATTTCTTTAAAAAAAAACAATTCCATACATATGTTTTGAGAAGTTTGAAGTCATTTTGGCTATTCTTTCTTCTGAGATGACTTGACCTGGTTGGAAAAGAACTATGATTAAAAACATTTTGTAATACATATGCATGTATCCATGCATACCCAATTTTAGAAACTGATCTTTTTGAAGGTTTTGTTTTTGCTGTCTAATATAGCACCCCAAATACGGGTGACTTTATACAATAACATTCTGTTTGCTTGGAATTTTGTGGGTGAGAGTTTTGAACTGGACTTGTCAGCCTTTCCTCCATCCATGTAGACATGTACTCAGATGGTCACCGACTAAGTTGCCTAAGCTTGAGCTCCAAGATTGAGCCTCAGTCTTTGTTGCTTATATTTTTTTCTTGTAATAACCTGAAACTTTGCAATGGTTACTAGAGCTATTGCTCAGAACACTGAGACAGAAAATTCTCATAATCAAATTGTTTTTCAAGCTCCTGCTTACATGCATTTATCAATGTAGTTTCATGTTTCAGATTATCTGACCAAGCTGGGTGTTAATACAGGAATCCATTGATAATTACTTCTGAAATAATACAAAAGCCGCCTCCTTAGGAGAAAAAAAAAAACAAGCAAAATCTTGAGGAAATAATTGAATTTTCAAAAAAAATAAAAATTTGATAATGTAAAGATTTTTATTCTGTAAAATTTTAGTAAAGTTTGATAAGACAATAATGATGTATGCACATAGACCTTGGTTTCTAGTCAGAACTACATTTTTAGACGACATGTATGAATTAATGAGAAAGAACTAAATTTTTGTTAAAACTATCTGAATTAAAATCTGACATTAGTCACTTGGAATTGTGTATTCATACAGAAGTGCCAAGCTTCTTGGGAATGGAATTAAAACTAAGAGTTTGCTCTTTCTTTTGCTCAGATTTTTATGGTATAATGAATTTGGAAGAGTTTTAGCATGAACTTCAAGACACAGCTATTCTCCAATGTATAAATATTTACTATGAAATTCATGTTGAATTAATTCACTTGTTTATATATCACTATACCTATCTAGCTATATCTATCTAGTTATAAAGATATCTATCTATAGATCGATCGATCGATCGATCGATCGATCTAGGCTATTGGGCTAGGTGTTGGAAATAAAATCTTCTCAAAATAAGCTAGACAAATAAATGCTAGAAGTCACAGAATACGAAAAAGCTGAACAACTATTAACAAACATGACAAGTATTCAATACCAAGACAAGGCTGAATTGAGAATATTCAGAATATGCTAAGTGATAATTTTATTTCTAAACTTCTGTGATGATCCAGTAGATTAAGAATCTCAAGGCTTTATTTTTATTTTTTTCTGGTGGAATTTTATTGCTGAATCTATCAGAAAAAAATGTCCCATGCTTTAACTATCAGTTTTGCGATTCTTGAAGAACCATTAGCATAGTCCTCTAAAAAGTCAAGCCCTTCATTAGGTGAAATCATTTTAGTTTATTTTCTCAAAGTTTGGGCCTCAGATAGAAGGTAAACTGATTCCTTTAAATCCATCCTTGTAAAATGGGATACAGCTTATCTGTTTATGTTGGAGCTGCTACAGCAAATTGCTTCAGACTAAGTGACTAATAAACAAAAGAGAAGTTCTGGCTGATGGAAAGTCCAAGTTCAAGGCTCTAGAGATTTGGTAGGTGGTGAGTTGCTGTTTCCTCACAGCCAACCATCATTTTATTATAGCATTATATGACCAGAGGGGTTACCTAACTCTCCAAAGTCTCTTTCATAAGAGTAATTAATGAGGGAACAGCTCTCACAGTCTAACCACCTTCTAAAGACATTAGTCCTAATACAATACTTTGAGAGCTAGGTTTTCAACATACAAATTTGGAGGACAATAATCACTCAGACCAATACATAATCATTCCATTACTTTGACTTTTCTCTAATATGATAAAGCTTATCTGTGTAATATATATCTTGACTACATTTACCCTTTAAAAATCCTCATATGATTTCAGCATGTAAAATGTCCTAACTATAGATGTACATCTGAACATTTTAATTATGTAATACTTTTCTTTTTTTCTTTTTTTAGTTTTTTTTTTTATTTTATTTTTTGTGAACACACTGTACAGACGGGTTACAATTACATGGGCAGTTAATGCGTACATTTCTTATCAAGCATTGCAGCCTCCTCCTTTGTTTACCCTTCACATCCCTTCCCAGCCTCCCCCCGCCACCCAATCCTCCCCGCCTTCCCCCCCATCCCCGCACCAACATTGTAAAGCTCGTTTTCTATATTTAAAAATTTGTAAGATTTAGTCAAGTAACAAAACATATGCACCAAAATATCTCTAAATTTATATTCCATATTTTCCTTCCGTTGATAACATTCACTAAGTCTGGAATATGTTTTTTGACTTTAACTGAACAAATGCACAGACATAATGCATACATATATAGCAAAGAATGATGAATATTAAATATTCTTGATGTATAGTAGAAATTTTTAAAAAAAATTCCATATACATACAAATTTACTTTAAAATCAGAACTGGTCCTTATCATCTAGTGCTTATCTCTAGAAATATAATGTGTTTACCTATAAATTATTTATTCTA